GTTTAGTGTCAACTGCAAATTTGATGAGTTCCCTTCAATTTCCTCATCTAAGTCATTTATGAAGATGTTGAAGAGTACTGAGCCTAAACCGGAACCTTATGGTACCCCACTGCTTAATTCTTTCCATGTGGATGTAGTGCCATTGAGGACTACTCATTGAGTATGGTTTGCCAGCCAACTACAGATTCATCTGGTGGTGATGTTGTCTATTCCATCTTTTTCTGGCTTACCAAGGAGTAGGTTGTGGTCTACTTTATCGAATGCCTCACTAAAATCTAAGTATGCTACATCCACAGCATTTCGCTGTCTACTACTTTAGTCACTTTATCAAAGAATGAAATAAGATTGGTTTGTCATGATGTGTTTTTAACAAACCCATGCTGGCTACTAGTTATGACTTTGTTTGCTTCTAGTTCTTTGCAGATCTGTTTTTTTAATTACCTTTTCTAGGATCTTCCAGGTATTGATGTTAAACTGATTGGACTGTAGTTTTCTGGGTCCGTTTTTTCCCCTTTCTTGAAGGAAAAAAAACTTTCTCTGTGCCCTTGACATGTTAGATTCTGATGCACACAGCGGTATATATGGATGCAATAGAGCAGGGATGTCAAACTGCCAGCCCACGGGCTGGGTGCATAATACAGAGGCTGCACCCATCCTATCTCCAGCAATGCAAAAAAAGTCACGATATGTCGCGACATGTCACATGAAGTGGTGAGGTTGACACCTGTACAATAGAGTTTCCACAGACCTTTTTACAGCTATGAAATAAAGGAGGCAGTGAAACTGAATTGTTTTCTTCCTATCAATTTCCCTTCTATTATGGTTTGCTGGGGGCTAGGCAGTACTAAATAATACTGAAGATTGTGTAATATTTTCTCAAAATAAGAAACCTGAAAGAGTGGAAGATTGATAGAATATTATTTAACTTATTGTCAAGTCTTGCTGTGATGACCATGGTAATTCTTTACCCAGGCCTTGGGTTAGTATGTAGACAGGTCCCTGAAGTCAAGGTATGTGTAAATGCAGGTAGTTATATGGTATTAGTTTTTTCCATAATGAATCCACCCAAGGTTGTTCTGCAGTTGGGTGACCAAGAAATTTCATGACTCAATGATTGAACTCTAAAATTAAATAATAGCTAGGATTAGAAATAGGCTTGTGTAAATTAAAGCTCTTATTGTAATCTGCAATTATACTATGTCCTCTACATTTCACTGGTCTACTAATTTAGTCACTTTGTCAAGGAATGAAATAAGATTTGTTTGGCCTGATCTGTTTTTGACAAAGCCATGTTGGCTTCTGGTTATAACTTTGTTTGCTTCTAGGTGTTCGCAGATTTGTTGCTTGATTATCTTTTCCAGGTTCTTCCCAGGTATTGATGTCAGGCTGATTGGTCTGTAGTTTCATGAATCTGGTTTTTTTTTCTCTCTCCATTTTTGGAGAAAATGGGAATCACATCAGTTCTTCTCCAGTCCTCTGGTAGTTCCCCAGTGCTTAAAGCTGATTTAGACTGAAGTCAGAATATAAAAAGTTGAAGACAGAATATTAAAAGTTCTCGCCTTGCAATCTAAAACTGAATGGCTTATCTATGTTATCAAGGCTTGGAGGGAGGCATTCATAATGGAATGTAGTGCAATTACTTTGCCCGTTAATGGAAGCATGATTTAAGAAAATAAAACTATTCATGCTTTTCACTTTAATGTACTTCTTATTAAAGGGATTTTTAAAAATACTGAAGTGATGCCTCACACTGAATTTCTAAGAAGTCCTAAAAATCCTCAGGCTGCTTCAACCACAGTAGTATAAGGTAGCTTTCCCCAATCTGGGCATTTCCAAATATTTTTTACTATACTTACAAACTGTGAGTCTTCCAAGCTGAAGTCCAGCAAGCATGTAGAACATCACAAAGGCTGATATTTGGAGTCAATATGATTTAAAGAAATTATTAGTTTAAATTTCACTGAATTTTCTTCTCTATATATGACTGCATCTGAATAAAATCTAATGGATTTCTGTAAGTATATCCTATGAATGACTGGAACTTTTCTTCTTTCCAACATCATCGTCATAAATTATATTGAAGTTCCCGTTAATCAGTCTGGATGCAGTGCTCTCAACAGTCCTTCTTGGATGTTTTAAGGGTACTGCCATGTCTCTCTGGTTATGTCCATGTGGTGATGGCCCAGCAGAAACTCTAAAGTATTACTATTATGGTGCTCCTTATATAAGGACTTTAGGCAGGCTTTTATTTATCTCATCTTGAAAAATAAATTCAGGCAAGGAATGTGATTTCTACTTATAAAGACCCATCTACTGATAGATATTTTACTGTATTTGGCCTTATGGTTGTAATAAACTGATTTGCTTTGATTTGAAATTCCATATGATCCCAGAGCCAAGAGACAACTATAATTTGAAGTAATTTGAAACCATGCAAACAGTGTTAAACTGGACTATTCTATGGCTAAATCAACTATTACAAGCTGCATCTGTTCCATATTTTTGGAACACCATCATGAATTGTACCATAAATAAAAAAATTATGCCTAACTGGGAGCCAACAATCTGCAAACTATTCATCACAAAAAGTGTAAACTCCATTAGATAGCAATAAATTCATAATGATGGTTGGGGCATGCCTTATCCAGAACATGCTTATTTATACAATAGATAATTTCATTATATTTCTCTGAATATGTATTCTTCTTCTTCTTCTTCCTCCTCCTCCTCCTCCTCCCCTCCTCCTCCTCCTCCTCTTCTTCTCCTCCTCCTCCTTCTTATTCTTATTCATCTATCCACTGCAGGATGAAGGCCTCTTCCACATGTTTCCAACCAATATAGTCCTGAGCTTTTCTTTTGCCAATTGGGCTCTTAATATTTGCTGATATCGTCAATCTATCTTGTTTTAGGTCTCTTTCATGGACACTTTTTATCAAGTGGATCCATTTTATGACTGTCTTGGTCCACCTGCCATCAGTTCTTCTTGCTATGTGACAGGCCCATTTCTGTTTCAATTCTTTTACTCTCTTGATAATGTCAATTTCCTTTATTCTCTAATCCATAGAGAATCTTTCTATCTTTTCTTGCAATGCCGAGTATGTATCTTTCTGTGGCTCTTTGTACCACTTGTAGCTTTTGTATTGATTGTGTAGCTTTTGTATTGATTGTGAGCATATGTTAGAGCAGGTAGCACACACTGATAGAAAACTTTTCTCTTCAGAAAGGGAGATTGTTATTGAAAATTATGCTTAGCTTGAAAATGCCTGCCAACCACATTTAATACACCATTCAATTTCCTTTATTGTATCATCTTCCATAGAGATCCATTGGCCAAGGTATATGTAGTGGTTTACTATGTCTAGTTCTTCTCCAGGTATATATTTATTTTAAATCAAATGGTTCTCCAATTTGTGTAGCTCTTGTATATTATGTCTTTGTAGCTCTTTTGGGTTTTGTAACACGAGAATGACATAATCTGCAAATCTTAAGTGATTAAGTAGGCGCCATTGATTTTTATTCCATCTTTTGCCCAATCTAGTTAGCAAATTCTTCCTCAAGGCAGACTGAGAAAAGGATAGGTGATATTGTATCACCTGTATATGTAAATGTATTAACATATGTATTTATATTTTTATAATTCTCTGAATATGTATTTAGAGCAGAATCTTCAATACTTTTAAAAACCAGATAAACATGCCACATTAGTAATTCCCAGAAGCTCTGAGATAACCCTTCCATCTCAAAGTTAAATTATTCAGGAAAAATCTAAATCCGATTTGTATTAAATTAACAAGGATCTCCAAATTTGCTGAAAAAGTCTTCTCTTTGGAGAAGATGCCTAAATGGTCAAAACGCAGAATGCAATTTTATATAAGAAAGCTTGTGAATGTGCTTCTGGTAACAACAGAACTTCCTTGGCTTAAAATGTATTCAAAGTCATAGGCAATTTGTCATTTTTAGTAAATTGCCCAGGGCTGAAGTAACTCTGAAAAGAAGGATTAACATGGATGTAGTGCCTAAATCATAGCAATTTACTTTGTCCAGAAATATGTTACATCTTAAACAAGTTATCCTTGGGCAACAAATGCTATTAAAAACCAAGCAAGAGTAAACGTGTGTGTGAGTTTCTCTTAACTATCTACAGGAAGACAGTAAACAGCAGGATGGTAGGCTAGAAGTATTTATCGCTTCATGTTTGATATTTGTTTTTTTAACCTGGGTACTTCCCCTTCCTTTTTTCTTTAACAGCCACAGTGTAGGAAAACATGTCTATGGAGGCCAGCCCTGAGAGAGAAATTTAAAATAGAGTTCTATTTAATGCCATCAGTCTTCCTTCTAATGTACAAAACATGCCTCCATAGAAAAGGTTCAGAATCATAGGCTGGATCCACTATTTGGGAAGCAGGATGCTAGATTCGTTTGCCAAAATAATAAGCCAATCTTTGAACTAGCCTTTCATTAGGTGTGATCCATTGAATTCAACAGATATTTATATGTAAAGTTTGGGCTATATTATTTAGACCTAAGGATATGAAAAGATGAAAGGCATTATTGAAAGTATATCCAATCAACTGAAGTAAAAGTATACAAGTCTAGTAAGACATAACATGTTTGAATCTCAAAAACAAGGTAAAAAGTTGCTTGATCTCAGGATGGGATTCATAAGAAAGAAAGAAAGTTGCAACTGCAATATAATAAAGATATGGTACCGCATAAAGAAGAATGAAAAATGAAATTAAGACTTTAGAAATCTTCATTAGAAAATAAAAAAATGAATGTTAAAGTGATATTAAAGTGATGAATATTGGTTTCCCTTAGACCTTTTCTATCTTGAGTGCCACCACTAAAATACTTACAAACAGCAGCTGCACTTTATTTGAGTCTAACCTAGAGAAGGACTGTAATCATACCCCAAAAACACAACTGCACAAGGCAGAAAGGAGCTTTCCAAATAATAATAATAATTAAAAAACATTTGTGGGTTTATTTAGGTGACTAAAGATGACTAAATGATGATGATCAAATCTGATGCAAGACTGGAACAGAAGGCATATTCTCAGTATATTCTGGACTACAGTGAAATTTATGATTTTTGAAGTCCATTGCATTCCCATCATGTGAGTGATGAATTGCAATAATCTAGACAGGAAAGTTTGGACTATAAGTAACCCACCTTATCCAAGAGGACTATATATGGCATAAAAGATTTTTAAAATCCATATCATAGAACCCAACCATGCTTCTAATATCAACAATATTCCAGATTTAATATAGTTAACAATGTAGTTTCCCCAAGGAGCTTTATACTGCTAGTTCAATTACTATTATTAACATTTATTTCACAAATATCCTAAATTAATACCCTAAAGAACCATGGAGGAAAAATATTTTTTAAAACTTTAAATTAAACCCCTATTTTGGGTTCAGTTTCCTTAATTTAATTAATTAAGCATTAAAGGAATGAAACTTTCACTAATCTTCATAAGTATTAGATACATGTATAATGCATCTCAGCCCATATACTTTGCTAAGAACATACCTTAATAATGCAGTCTGTTAGGATTATCTGTGGATTGTGGAATCAAAATCTATACAAAAATGCTTAGCATTTATGGGCTTTTTAAAAAAGTGGTTAATGTGCTTTACATAGATCATTTAATAAATCCTTACAACAGCAGCAGTCCTATTAAATGTCATGTTACTCTCCTCATGTCTTAAAAAAACAAGAAAGACTCATGATGAATCAGACCAAAGTCCAGCATCTTATTTATTATTATTTATGAAGAAAATTTATATTGCTGCCCAGCTCACTCTTGGTGACTCTGGGCAGCTTACAAGGATAAAACCCCAGTATAAAAACAAATATATAATTATTCAGTAATCAACAATTGATTCATGCAATAATCAACATTATGTCTCTGGGAAATCCACAAAAAATCTATGTGGGCAACTGCTCATCTCCACTGTTGTTCCCGATTCCTATTGAAGGAACATTTCTTTGTTATAAACAGGGATTAAAATGAATATTGAAACAATCTTGTCTAATATTTGGTGAGTTGAATATTAGGTTAAGACTTCTACTCAGTCTCCCTTGCTTACAATACATACTCTTAGCCACCACCGTTTATTGCTTTTTTAGTAATTTTGCTTTGCAAAATTGGCTAAAGAAAGTGAAATGTGTATTGGTCTGTTGAAAAATAATGAAAGAATACTGTCAGTTAATAGCAACTTTATTTTGGTGTAGACTTCTAGTTCTCAGATGGTGTAAACTGAAATAATTCGGATTTTTTTTTTCTGTTACAGATTCCATGGATTCTTGTATTTTTAGAGTTGCTCCAATGGATGTCTTTTGCACTTATTGAATCTTTATTTGTGGGAATTTTTTGCTTTACATTCTGATCTAATAATGACTGAGTCATGTGATTGACAAGGGACTTGACTGGCCTAAAAAAGAAAAATTTTGGTTGATACGTTTATGACTTCAGTCCCCTTAAGAAAAACATGCTCAGATAGTGGCTGGCACAGATACCATTTCCTTTTGGTAAGGCTGTGGAAAACGTGGCCACTTGAAATCTGAAAATGAGTGCACCATTAATTCCCAACAAGTCATGTTACAATCTATTACAGACCAACAGAAATGAGATGAAAAATAACAATGAACACATGGTGTCTGTAGGAGACACAAATGCGAATCAAATCACATCAGATGTCAGAACTCCTGGAACAGCAATAAGGACAAGCAATATTTCAGGAGAATCTGCTTGCTTACACACTAGTAAGCAAAAAACCAACAGACATTTAGACTCTGAGAGGAACAACCTTCAGGGCTCTACTGGTGAATCAGACTTTATACTGTCTTCTACCATCAGCAAGAAATTGCATGCAGATTGTAGGCCTGAAGGCCTTAAGGACACTTCAAAGCTGGTCACCATTAGCCGAGGACACAGTTTGTCCAATCTGAGGATCAACGCAAGTGATAACCTTTCAGTAGTACTTTCAAAAAGTGATGCTGACCTGATTCAGTATGTTTCAAAGGAAAAAGCACTTAGAAGGATTGAGCCAGAAGGAATAAAACGCCTTTCTTTGGGGAGATCAAGAAAACTTATGGCTAAAACAGAAAAAGAATTTGTTGGCCGTGTATCAGGTAAACGCTTGCTTTCTGTATCCTTGGATTCCATCAATACTTCCATCAATCATTTGAGTGGGGACATGGAAAAATCTCAGAAAACATCAGCAGACCATTTTCTAGGCATGGTGTTCCATCCAACTGATGGTGTCTCTGAAGGAAACATTGTACATTACCCTAAATATTCCTCTACCTCAGAAATGGGAAGAGCAAGTACCCCAGCCATACAATCAGGTGTGGATAATGTACCAAATGCCAACAAACAAGACCCTCCACACCATGCTGTTGTTGATCTCCATTTAACCATTAAATCCAATGAAATTTGGAAACCAGAAGCACAAATTGACCATCAGAGTGGTAAGAGAGGAAAAGGGGAAGTGAAGTGTCCTTTGTCCTCACAGTCAAAGCATGTAGGTGAGCAGAAAATGAACAAGGTTATGTTATTTGGATTTCTTGGATGTCCAGCAGAAGAAAATAATGTTGTGGTACAGAATCAAAAGGATATGGGGACACAAGTACATAAGACCAAATTACATCCGTTGCCAAAAGAGGATCTGTTTTTAAATGAAGGATTTGACTCTATTAATGAAAGTCTGATAAGTGACAATGGCTCTCCAGATTTAAGAAAAGGAAATAATCATAGTAACAGCAAGGCAGCAAGCAAAGTGAACGAGGAATATAGAGCTGTAAAAAAGGAAGATTCTGTTTCAGCTCCTGGTGATGATACTATACATGTTGATAGATTGACATCAACAGAGAATGAAAACCTATACATTGCTAGCACAAGTTGTATTCCAGCAGTTAATGGGCATGTGTCTTTTATGGATAGTGTTAATGTGACAGACAGCAAACATTTGAATAACTATGAAAATAAGCAGATTCTAGTCAAAGGACCCAGTGAAGATGCTATAATTGTCCAATCTGATTTGGAAGATTCCAAACCACAAAATACAGAAAATATCTCCGTAAATTTTAACACTGAGGACAGTAATTTAGAAACCAGACATTTTTCAGCTCAGAGCAAGAAGACAGTTAATGAAACGAAAGAGCATACAAGTAATGCACTAGAAAGCTGTAAAATAATAGCACAAAGTGAAACTTTTTTATGTCCCCCAACTCCTTTGCGCCCTTCTACAACTGTGAATGCCAGTAGCCACATCACAGCATCAAACAGCAGTTTGAAGGAACTTTGTGTGCTTCACGTTGACAAACTGCCATCTTCTGCAACCCGACCTCCCACTGACAGCACCCAGTTATTTAGCCTATCCCCTAAAGTGCCTAATAATGCTACATGTAACAGTGCGATCCCTAAGCCTATCCTTATAAATTCCAAGGGGCCCGAACCAGCCACTTATAATGGTGAGAACAAGGATATGGAGAGGCCTGAAGATAAGGTTGAAACTCCAGCCATCCCTAAGCCCAAACATGTGAGGCCTAAAATAATAACTTACATTAGAAGGAACCCTCAGGCAATCAGCCAGCTTGATCAGTCTGGATTGTCTTGCGTGCCCCCTGCTTGTGGGTTGCCAGTGGCAACCGAACAGAAAATGTTCAATGATGGAGATATTAAACCAGGCAATGTTTTCTACGAAAAATTTAAAACTGACTTTCAGAAGCCTCAGATGTATAGTTCTGGATTTGTAGTATCTGGCATTAAATCCTCAGACCATCAGTTTAGCCAGATGGGTGAAAGGTTTTTCCATGAGGTAAGCTTTTTTTCCCCTTTTTTAAAAATACTCAGGCTATTGAAGTGAAATAAATGTGAATCTGTTAAAATGTGTGATAATCTTTCAAATATTCAATTTTAATATCTGTAGATTTTTTTTCTTGAAAAAGTAGATAGAATCACACTGGCATGGGAAAGAAACTCAACATACTGGGTAAGTATGGTGAAAGAAATATTCTTTATCATCTCATGTTTCTTTATTCATCTGTTTCCTTTTAGGAAAATTTTCACAAAATTCAAGGCTGAGATATTTGATTTCACAATACAAAAACAACACCTGCTGTAGCACTGATGTAAACATGGCTGGAAAATTCTCTTGCTTTGAAAAACAGTTTTAAAATTGTAAAAAAAAAACATTAAAAAAAGATTGAAATGACTCTATATTCAGAAATTATTTACAGCAATTCACCAGCAGGCTTAGCTCCACTTGACTGGTTCAATCTGTATCTCTTTCTCCAACTGCCAACTGTTTTTGAATTTAAATCAAAGCTTTGACATTAGCTTTTAAAACTAATGGTCTCAAGCTGCCATCAAAAATGGTTTGCTAAATCCACTGTCTACTATTTTTTATGTTGATTTAACTTATCTAACATAGTGCCCAGGGCATTGAAGTGTCCCAACAATGCAGAATGTACATAAAATAGAAAGAGACATTTGTTTCACATTTGATACACGCTACTGCATTGCTGAAAGTTTGGTTAACCTGTTTTGGGTCAGCTGTAATCCAGCTGAAAGAAACTCAAACAATTTGAATAAATCAAACGCAAAACTGTTTCAGATATTCTGACAGGAAATAGTGGAATTCAGAACAAGCATATTTAACTGCAAACATAGTGTATAACCACTAGATGACAGCAGAGGGGCACAGTGTATTCTCACTGTTTTGAGCCATCTAGGTCAGTGGTTCTCAATCTTTTTAATGCCGCGACCCCCAACCGGTCATAAGTCGAGGACTACTCAACTGGTCGTAAGTCGAGGACTACTCAACTGGTGCAGCACCGTTTGCAGAATGGAACTTTTGGCGGGCTCAGTAGGGCAGAGACAGCCTGGACAATTCCTATTGGCTTTTGAAAGCCAATAGAATAAAAGGGAGTAGCACAGCTAAGGAAAAGGGGAAAAAAATGGCGCACTGCATTGTTTGGCAACCCCCGTGAAATGGTCGTTCGACCCCAAATGGGGTCCCGACCCACAGGTTGAGAACCACTGATCTAGGGGATGTTCAAATTTTGCAGCCTAGATCTTGTAGCCCCTGGTTTTATTATCAGACATTTTATATCCCAGCAAAATTATTTACATATTCTGCAGTGGCATCTGTCAGGGGGGAGTATAAGGAGAGTCAAAATTATATAAACTATGAATGTTACTGATGTTATACCCCTTTCTCCTCCTTCACATTGGGATGAACAACACAACAAACAACCTGAGTACAATAATGAAAGATTACAAGCAACTAGGCAATAAAGTTAAGAAGTTAGGAGCACAAGTAGTGTTCTCATCAGTACTCCCAATGAAAGGCCAACACTCATTGAGGGGAAAAAGAATTTTAGAAATAAACCATTGGCTAAAGAGTTGGTGTTGCCAAGAAAACTTTTTTCTACGCAAAAGACTCTTGGCAAGAAGTGGGCTGCACTTCACGAGAACAGGCAAAAATATACTTGGAAAAAGACTGGCCCAACTCATCAGGAGGGCTTTCAACTAAAACTGAGGGGGAAGGGTGACCAATCTCTAGAATCTCTAGAATCCAAAACTAATCACAAATCCCAAGAAAACAATGAGGTAGGCAGTGATGATAAAAAAGAAAAAGTCAAAAACAATCAGGAGATGCGGGAAACATACCCATGGACAGGCGTAAAAGTCTTAAATGATTATATACAAACGCTCAAACCTTGGGGAACAAACAGGGTGAACTAGAAGCAATAGTACATGAAGGAGGCTTTGACATAGTTGGCATAACAGAAACCTGGTGGGATGAAACGTATGAATGGAATGGACTGATGGATGGATACAAATTGTTCAAAAGAGGACAGAGGTCTACAAAAGAGGACAGAGAGTTGCACTATAAGTAAGAGAACACCATATATCTACAGAAATGCACATGATCAAAGATAAAATCTCTCCAGAATGTATATGGGTCAACATAAAAGAGAAAAAAAGTGACATTGCCATAGGTGTATATTACAGGCCACCCAACCAATCAGAAGAAATAGATGAACTCCTTGCCAACCAGTTAACAAACGTATGTAGGAAGCATAACACAGTAGTAATAGGAAACTTGACCTACATCCCAGAGTTCTGAAAGAGCTGGCAGATGTTATCTCAGAAACATTGCACCACATCTTTCATAAATCCTAGAGCACCGGAGAAGTACCTGAGGAATGGAAAAGGGCTGATGTGGTTCCCATCTTCAAGAAAGGGAAAAAAACGGACCCAGGAAACTACAGACCAATCAGTTTAACATCGATACTTGGGAAGATCCTAGAAAAGATAATAAAAAAACAGATCTGCAAATGATTAGAAGCAAACAAAGTCATAACCAGCAGCCAGCAAGGGTTTGTTAAAAACAGATCATGCCAAATCAATATTATTTCATTCTTTGATAAAGTGACTAAACTAATAGACCAGCAAAACACTGTGGACATAGTATACTTAGATTTCATTAAGGCATTTGATAAAGTAGACCACAACCTACTCCTTAGTAAGCTAGAAAAAGGTGGAATAGACAACATCACCACCAGATGAATCTGTAGCTGGCTGACAAACCGTATTCAACAAGTAGTCCTCAATGGCACTACATCCACATGGGGAGAAGTAAGCAGTGGGGTACCACAAGGTTCCAGCTTAGGCCCAGTACTCTTCAACATCTTCATAAATGACTTAGATGAGGGAATAGAAGGAGAACTCATCAAATTTGCAGATGATACCAAACTGACAGGAGTAGCCAACACCCCAGAAGACAAACTCAGGATCCAAAAAGATCTAGACAAACTTGAACAATGGACCCTATCCAACAAAATGACTTTCAATGTGGAGAAAAGCAAAGTTTTACATTTAGGTAGGAAAAATCAAAGGTACAAATACAGATTGGGCGAGACCTGGCTTAAAAACAGTAACCGTGAGAGGGACCTTGGAATCCTAGTGGACGATCACTTGACTATGAGCCAACAGTATGCAGCAGCAACCAAAAAAGCTAATAAAATCCTGGGTAGTATAAACATAGGCATAGAATCAAGATCACATGAAGTATTAGTATCGCTTTATAAAATACTAGTAAGACCACACGTGGAATACTCCAGCCAATTTTGGGCACCATATCACAAAAAAGATATTGAGAGTTTTAAAAAAATTCAGAGAAGAGCAACTAAGATGATCAAAGGCCTGGAGTGTAAAACATATGAAGAACGGCTGCGGGACTTGGGTTTGGCTAGTCTAAAGAAAAGAAGAAATAGGGGAGACATGATAGCAGTATTCCAGTATTTGAGGGGCTGCCACAAAGAAGAGGGGGTCACGTTGTTCACCAGAGCACCAGATGGAAGGATGAGAAACAATGGTTGGAAACTGATCAACGAGAGAAGGAACCTGGAATTAAGGAGAAACTTCCTGAAAGTGAGGACAATCAATCAGTGGAACAGCTTTCCTTCAGAAATCATGGACGATCCATCACTGGAGATTTTAAAGAAGAGACTAGACAATCACCTAAGACAGTATAGGTTCTCCTGCTTGAGAGGGGGCTGGCTAGAAGACCTCCAAGAAGACCTCCTTCCAGTTTCTATTCTATTCTATTCTATTCTATTCTATTCTATTCTATTCTATTCTATTCTATTCTATTCTACTCTACTCTACTCTACTCTACTCTACTCTACTCCACTCTATTCTAATTCTCAGAACTGCCCAATAATCATGAAAGAAAATATTTTGTCTTAATCTCAATATTCTAAGAAACATTCCTAACAGTCTTTAAAATCCTTAATTATTGAATTGTTACTCTAGTGTAGGCATGTCAAACTGCCAGCTGGTGGGCCAGACGCGTCACGCCGAAACCGTGCCCACCCCATTGCCGGCAATGGGGGGAAAGTCCCGACATGTGATGCCGTGAGTTTGACATGCCTGCTCTAGTGTATTCCAACTGTTTATTCCAAAGTATATACAAGTAAGTAATATTCAACTTAGCAATACTCTCTAATTGTCTATAAAAGTTTGAGTTGATTTAGAATAATCCAAAACATATTTTAGTGCTAATAGTAATTCAGAAGTTGTGGATACTGTTAACAATTCTGGAGCAAATTATGATATCAAGATATGCTTTAATTGAGTGCACTGTCATTCCACAGTTTTAGACAAGTGGCATTTTTCTTGCAATAATTTAAATTATTTTTGAAAACTTGTTTGGCAGTTAGCTGCCAAAATTAATCCCTTTAGTATTCAATAATTTTTAAGACAAAGATTTACCTGCAATTTGCAATACCAGGTTTACCCCAGAGTGTAACTTATATGTGAATATGGGCTTCTATTTCAACATTTTCCTCGCAGCCTTAAAGACAGTACTTCCATCAACTTTTCTCAAAGTTCATCATGGACTTTATGAAAAGAAGTAAGGGCAGAACCTGGCACAAAATGACAATTTTTGTACTAAGAGGTTTGCTGCTCCTAAGGATGATACAAATGTAGAAGCTACCTCAACTGAAAATTTCCCCTGTCTCTGGGGTCATATAGTAAAATATCTTGATACTCTTTGTGTGACTGCCTACCATTCACAGATAGGTGTAGTTTCACTGTGATGTGCTCATGTCATCTATCATCTGAACCACATCCAGCCCTTTATCTGTGGCCAGAATAATGGGAAGTGATGAGACCTTCAATAGCCCACTTCTTCATTTGCACTTCCCCCACAAGTTACGTAGGGAGGAAGAGTGAGAAGTCTGGAACAAATGCATAAGAAAAAGTGCATATAACTGTTTTTTGCTGCCAGTTGCACATACACTGCCAACTTCTGATAAAAAACTCAAGCATGTATTGTAGTTATAAATCTTTCACCACGGTAATACAAAATGCAGAACAAAGTAAAAGCACTCTGCATAGAAAACAGGCATGAGATCTTACTTTCAGCAAATGAGGTCAGAGAGACAAATTCAAGATTAGGGCAATTTAAGAATAGTCCACATCCAGTCCCATGTCCCAGGTAATCCAAGCATAGACCAGACACAGATAGGAAATTAAAACATTATTCGCCACAAAGAGCCCATTCTAAAAATCATCTCTTTTATATAACCATATTTTCTTGACTAACTGGCTGTGTCACACTTCTTCCTTTCAAGTACAATGCTTGACTTCCTTTGCTCTTAACTGATAATAGGTTGCTGGGTTCAAGAGCCGGATCAACTGGATCCTCCTCCTCAGGTTGCTGTGGCTGAGTCTCTGTTTAGTTAGTTCCTGGGATGTGAGTCAAGGCTCAAACTAATCAATTCCTTCAGAAGTTCTTCAGCTTCTGGATCATATGCCTCCCTAACACTGTCCTCCTTCTTAAGCCTCCTTCTATTGTACTACTTCCCCTTTACGGGGAACAATAGGTGAAACTGTTAGACTAATCTCAGCACAGAAACCTGGTCTGTATTTTTTCTCTTCTTCAGGTCTATATTCCTTCTAGTCAATGAGTTATTGGAGTTTCTGCCAATGTCTCCAAGACTCTAGAGGCAGGCTACTCTGAACTATGTCAGGAAGTAGATGAAAAATAGATGAGTGGTATGTTTGGGGAATGCAGCAGGAATTAATGACAATCTGTGGAATATCAGTGGGACTTTCAAAGATAAGGGTGTTTCCTGAATTAGCCATTGGCCCAGTGGGGAAAGATCCAAGCATCAATTGTCTAGCTTTTTGACTGCAGTTAATGTGATGATATCTAGAACAAGCCATCAATTGCAAGAGCAGGAACTGTAGAGAAAGAAATAGAACAGAATTCTTTACTGGCCAAATGTGATTGGACACCCACAAGGAATTTGTCTCCGGTACATAAGGTCTCAGTGTACATACAAACAACAAAGTGATAGGTCATATATCATAGATCATAGTTACAATCATTAATCATAAGATACAACGTGTGATAAATCATAGATACCAATAGGCAATATTAGCAAAGATGAGAAAGTTGTTCATGTGAGTCAGTGAAGTATGTACATGTTTCTTTGGCCTTTTGGAATTGATCTTTAAATATCTGATGTGTGACTTGAAGTTCCTGCAGATCTGAACCTGACATTGCCTCACAAGTTTAAGGAGGGGAGACCATTTAGTCTTCAGGATCCACCATAAGGAATTCTGCCTCCAAATAGCCGTTGAACAATACTACATGTAGCTTTTATCGCATTCTATTAGATACCATCATTTAATTCTTGTCTTGTTAGTAAATATCTACAGTAATATTTTATTATCCAGATATTTTACATGAAATGCTCTTTTACCTATCTATAAAATAGAGAGGCCTTATTCATGAACATAGTTAAAAAGGCCAGACTTAACAGGACACTCTAATACAGGGGTCTTCAAACTCAGCCTTTTTATGACTCATGGCTGAGGAATTCTGGGAGTTGAAGTCCATGAATCATAAAAGGGCCAGGTTTGAAGACCCTTGCTCTAATACATATCTCAATGGCATGGCACAATCCTATGCTTTTTTATTCAGTTGTAAGCTTTCATGTGCGCTTTAGATTTATTCTCAATATTGATTTACTAATGGAAGTTCTTGTTTTCTAAAAGACCTATTATTAAAGACACTTCAAGGATAAATTAGGGAAGATTTTGGATTCAAATCTCCCTTGTACTTCAGTCAGCCCAAAGAGGAGCTGGCATAGTTAATTTTTCCACAGTGGAGGATGATGAGGGGAAATGTAAATAAATTAGCTCTTTTTGTCATTTTCACCTTCATAGCAATGAATTTGCGGGGTTAATTGTCAGAAACTTTTATGGCTCCTGAACTGACCATAGAATTTCTCTGCCGTAAATCCAGGGTTCATGTGAATCAAATTTTTGTTTTCTTCCTAAGCAAATATATTTAAGTATTTTGATGTTCTATTATGAATGCACTATATTATTTATTCAATGTATAATATATTAGTGTGTCATTTTTTTTCATTTCTGCTCAGATATCACAGCAGCAACCATGCTGAGAAATATTAACTGCAATCCTTGTAAAGACTGAGTGAATGCATATTTTGATTTCTGCTGTATTTTTTCTTGAATTTCCCTTTATAAAAGTAATAATTTAAAAGTCTATAATTGATAAAATTATAAATATACATTTATATTTCTGTAGGTTGGAGAAAGGCCTGTGAAAGACAATTTTTGTCCTGCGCCATATGCTCATTATGAGGTGCCTCCAAGCTTTTATCGCTCAACAATGATTCTTAAACCCCAATTAGGACTTGGTGCTGTTTCCAGGTTGCCATCTGCAAAAAGCAGGATTTTGATTTCCAGTCAAAGGTCTTCAGCAAGCTGCATCCATCCTCAAGCACCAATACCCAGTTCAACACTATTCCATCCTGAAACTTCAGGTGATTAATTAATCTATTTGGCTGAGCTAGTAAATCATAAATCATAATGATAAGCTGAATTTAATCACAATATAAAGGCAATTTAGAATATTGTACCAAAGGGGCATTCAATCACTAAGTAGTCTGATTGTCTGTTTTAAGTAAACTCAGTTTATGTTTTAATTATAACAGGAAAACACCAATATAGGTCTTTGAATTTGTTTGTAGTTCGGTTTGGTTTGTTCTGGTTTGATTTGATTTCAGCAGGACTAAACATGATCAGAAGTTTGCCTTCTTACTAGTTAGTGCTGCAGTCTTATACTACAGTTTTGTCTGCCTGATACTGTCTAGAAGTGTTGAACCACAATTCTTATCATCTCCCATAATCTTAACCAGTATATTTTGTGTTTTGGAAGATGGTTTGGGGAAGTCTGCTTAATCAACTGATCTGACAGCCCCACTGAATACAATAGTTGTATTAAGAATGTTTACACAAAACTCTTGGCCACATTACCAAATTAATCAATTTTCTGGATATGCAGAGTAACATAAAATATCCAAGCATACTGATTCGTAACATAAGCTAACCATGTGACCCTGTTATGCATGTTGTGTGAACACAGCTATAAGGTTCTTTGTATACTAAGTTAAAATCTGTAGGATTGGATGGCCCATATAATAATGTAGATTGCTAGTTTGTTGATATGTTTATTTTGGTGCCTTCAAGTCAGTGTTGACTCCTGATGACTGCCTGGGCAAATCCTTACAGTTTTCTCAGCAAAATTTCAGACATGGTTTGCTATCGCCTGCTTTCCAGGGCTGAGGTCACCAAGCTGGCTTTGTACCTAAGGTGGGACTAGAACTCATGGTTTCCTGGTGTCTGGCCTGATATCTCAACTACTGCAACATACCGGTTTATATATTAGGAAAATATTTATTTTTGTATGTGAACTATTGGATCTATTTGCAGTAGAAAATGCAACTGAACAGTTAAAATGTTTCTGGAGAATTCACATGGTTTTGTGTTGGAGTGGATTTTAAAGCACCTGCATAAAAATGAACAATGCTTGTAATCAGATATGATTTAGTAGGATTTGTCTGTCTGAATATTAACTGAAGGCAAGTTAAATGGAGATTGCTTTCACTCATCAATTGCTGGCATCACTTTGATCCTTACCACAAATCATATGAATTTTAATGCAAATGTAGGCCTCTGCTCATCCATTTTACACCATTTTTTTCTATCCCTGAGAACATTATCTCCTTTTTCCACATGTTTAGAAAAATAAGAGCTGTAATCTGCTATTGCCTGAGCTTTATTTTCCCCTGGGGTAAACTACTAAATTAGGGATTATGTTGGGGACATGATGACATCATAAGACTCCATAATTCATAATTCCCTGGAAAATGGTCTGTAGGATATAAAATGTTTGTGATACTAAAATAAATATATTTAAAGATTAAATACATGTTTCAATTCTCCAATAGGACTTTAAGCCCATATCTAGTCATCACTTTGTATAAGAGAAAAATAATACCCTCTACTACAAAATGATTATTACATTGTTATTGCGCACAATAAAAAGAACATTGTACACATTATAATTATAAAGCTATACATGCTGTTCCTATTTGTTTCAAAATCACAAGGGAGAAACATCAGCCTCAGTTCTGTTGTTTTTGAGTTCACACAATGGCTTCTGTTTTCATTTTTCCAGTGTTTTAAAAGAGGAATGTTACTTCCATTTTTTTATGTCTCACATCTATTATCACATGTAAATATTGGGGCAAAAATATTTTTTAAAATGCGTTATATTTTGGCTTTCCTGCTTTTCTGAAAATCTTCTCACTTTGCTTTTCAAACCTTTTAACACAAATATAAAAACAGAATATTAAATTGCACATTGATATGCAATGTTTAGTTTACTATGTCTACTCAGAAATAAACCCGTTTGAGTTTAATGGAGCTTACTCTCAAGGTAGTGAATATAGAACTGCAGCTGCAATGCAATGACAGTGTTTTCTGACTCCAGGCATATAAGCAACCAGTTGGCAATTAGATCCCTGCTGATTTAGACTAATGAAAAATAGGGCTTGATTAACTTATCTTTTTCAGGAGTAGAGTGAATGTAAACTTGCTAAAGTAGACTAAAGTGAGATTGATTAGCTTATGGTTCAGCATTTTGTGGGAAACCCAGCTGTTCTCGTAACTCCCAAGAGTTAGCATGTTCTGTGAGCTAGGTCATCACGTTAAGCCATGGAATAACTTATTCATCTGGGCATAGCATGTTATATGAACACAGCAATTGTGCTTGGTTAGCATGGGGTTAAGTGTGCTGTGAACCAGCCATCTGCCTAGAAGATAGACCCTCCAGGGGAAAAAAAAAAAAACCCTGAGCTTGGATAATCTTCGTGGATTTTTCTCTTTTGAATGAATATTTTTTTCTTAACATTAAATGTAAAGAATACAAGAGAAAATATTTTAAATATTCATCTAACAAATATCTGGCTTATCCAATTTTATTGCACTATTGTATTCATGATATATGATTAGATTATATGGAAAACCAGATGAACAGACTTGTTAAATTAAAACAATCTTATACTTTAAATGTGTAAAAATATACACAACTAATAATAATATATGGTATTTTGTTTCACTGGATTTTATTTGTAGCACAGTTGGGCAATCTACAACCAGCAGGATACCTGTAACATCTGAATTTTTTTTTCTGCAGTCTTCTTAACTCTATGGCAGCATAGCTTGCTACCAATAATTTAATATTTTTCGAAGTGTGGTTCTTTCTGGTATAATCTATAATTCATTTCTGATATATATGCTTATTACTAAAGATAGACAAGAAACCATCAAAGTAGTGTGGCTATGTTTTTTTAATTGTTTAATTTTTGCTATAATTTTTGCTGCTTTGCTGTTGTTTTATTGTTGTTTTTTCTATTCTTTTACTTTGTGAATCTCCCAGAGTCATTAGGAGTTGGATGGTGTACAAATTTAATAAATAAGACAAAATAGTTTTGGGTTGCAGTCTAATGCAAACTTCTCTTTGTATCAGTAAACAAAGCTTCTAAGTGAACATTTATAGAATTATTCCGCTAGAAAATGAACAATCTGTTCCAACAATCAACTGCATTATATATTGCATTTCTACTTGACTTTTGTTCTTTTCATTTCCAGCATCCATATTTAATAAGAGCCCTATGAGATAAGAAAAAAAAACTATCCTCAATCTGTAGCTGTATAATAGCTTTATTAAGATCAATTAGCAATAACACAAACAGATGTTCAGGTTTTGGAGTTCTCCAGAACTTTTCATCAGGGAAAAAGTTGCAAAACAAAACAAAATGACAGACACAATAGAAATAAGAAAGTTTCAAAATTGGACTAAACATTTTTAGACTGTAAGTTGTGCAAGGAAATTAGTCTTCAAATGGAATAGCTGACTGAAGGCAGAGTTTCAAATTACACTTAATCTTTGGACAAAAGAAATGATTGATTCATTCAATTGTGAAAGAACAAAATCATTTCCTTTCCCTAGTTTGTCCCTAGCTTTGGTTCATGCCACAAGTTGCCTTAAGCCTGGGAGTAAGGAGGAACAAAGAAACATTGGTCTTCGTACTGAAGATGGTCCATGGACTCCCAAATGAACCTGATACCTGGCTACAGATGTGAACTAGGCCTCTTCAACCTTTGTCAGACATTTATAGTGTCATACATCCCCTATGATACTGACATTGGTACTCTAGTACATCAAACTCATAGTTTCTTCTGACTCACCCTCTCTGTTTATGATTATCAGAGGGGTCCTAACGAACCCCAACTATTATATTAAAAAGTGATTTTTTTAAATCTCTGCAAACACATTTTCCTTTAGTTTGACATGCTGCTACTCAGCTTCTTATCTCTTTTTATCTATCATAGTGTTTTTATGTTTTATGTTAGGAGCAATGAAAGCAAATTAATTGTCCTACAGAGAAGACAGATGACAAGATGCCAACCTTAGGCAGAGCTTCTACATTCATTATCTCTCAGGAATTTGAAAGGAAGGCCATTTTGCATGGCATCAAGAAGGGAGTAAGAGAGAATTGATGAGTATTACTGGCTTAAGCAAAGAGTCAGCTACTGCAGAGTAGAGATGCTTGGTAGGGGTGTACCATATGTTACTATCATGACCTTGAGTGACAGCCAAAGCATCAGTGTGCTAGTTAAGTGTGGACTGTGTAGCATGACAATTAAGTGAATATGTAGCTGGCTCCAAAATTGTAGTCAAAGTATCATCAAAGTAGAGAAGTATTGAATTGTGCCCTGGGCGCTGCACTCTTTCTTATGTGTATTAATAACATGGATGAAGTGATGGAAGAAATGCTTATGACATTTGCAGAGGATATCAAATTGGATGAAAGAGATAGAAGAAGGAAATAAATTTCATACAAGTCTTAAAATATTAGACAAATTAGCAGAAAACAACAGGTGAAATTTGATAGAGACAAGTACAAAATTCTTCAGTTTGGAAACAAGAACTCTATGTATAGTGCAGGATAGAGACACTTGATTTAATACAGTTAGATAGGGGTGAGTGGTCAGTAACCCATGGCAATGGTTTGTCTCCATACTGCTGAATGTCTGTGTACAGGAGCAACTGGGGAGGATATGCTGGCTGTCCTGGGGATGAGGGTCAGTGTCTGGGTAGATATGTTTGGATACCCATCATGGCCAGGGAAAATTTTTTGAGGCTAAGGAAAATGTGGAGGAAGAATTGAGAGAAAGTAGTCCCATCAAATTTGTGATGGGGGGGTATGTTAATAAGCTGAGGAAGGTTCAGAGGAAGGTATGTTAATAAGCTGAGAGTGGGTCACTTGCAGAGCTACTTACCTCTCATGATCAAAGGCCATCTGATAAGTTGCCAGATAGCCCTGGCTCTAGCTACTCTTATTGAATATCAGGTCTGTACATAGTAAGACTCTTCTCACCTAGAATATGACTGTGGATTAGGCAGCTAACAAAG